ATTTATGATTGCATTTCAATTATCCAGTAGCATAACACCAATTACATGATGAATTTCACAAGACAAACATACACACACAAAATTCTCTACATAAACTTGTCTAAGTTGGTTTTGGTTGTAAGAAAACTGAAGCCAGGACCCCGGGGAAAGAAGAAAAATATTATTACTGATTTTTTTATTTTTTTATTAACACTAACACATATACCACTTTATACTATTTATTATAACAATTGTGACAACTAATCAAACTTGACCATTTTTTGAGGAAACACATATACACAATATCTGTTACTATGGTTGCTCAGTTATAAGCCGACTCATTTAACACGAAATATTTCAGATGCTTAAAGGTAAGCATATATCCGTGAATACCAATTCTAATTCACTTACTCATCAATGCCTGTTCAGCATCTGGATGAGGGCAGGGGCTGTGAGATGGACCAGTCCATCTATATAATCCCCCTACTCGTCTCGTAAGATGTACTGGGTTCTTTATAGTGCATGTGAGCCAATTGTGTGAACTGGGCCTACGGTTTATATTCTTTATCCAAGAAGACTTGTTCCACCTCCAGAACCATAGGCGAGAGTGCCGTACGCACCAGCACCGATATAATGGCTGTAGGCTGCGGGCCCCTGCCTTAACTTTTTTAACAGTATTTATGAGAGTCAGCTGAAGTACTCATTCAAATCATAAACTTATGACCTTTTGCACAGGAAAATGTTGGTACTTCTGAAATTGCACATAAAGAAGGGGTTTACACACCTGAGGAACTACTGTATAGTAAATAGTGGAAACAGTTACATTCACCAGCGGCGTAGCTGGGTGCGAAAGGGCCCCAGTGCAAGATTAATTGCCAGGCCCTTTGATGTGATAGGGGAAATTCGAAATAGAGGGATTTGATTTGGAAGAAAAGTAAACATTTATTTGAATTGAATTGAATTTAGTTAAATTTCATCTCTACAGATCATTGATCAAGTGATAATACTAAAATTTCCTTATTAAAGCTAACATGCTATAAACAAAATTAATTTGAAGCTTGAAATGACCCTTCTAAGTCTGTGGTCGTGGTGGTGCCAGCGGGGGTACGGACGGCAATTTCCACTATTCGACAGGCCTGGACCCCTGCTGTCCGACGCTACAACAAAGACGTCAAACCAAAAATATTAATTTGCCTATCAAAATAACAAAATTTTGATTGCCAATCCCTAATATTGTGGTAGAATAACCATAAAAACTCTCCCCATGAACATTACAAGAGACTTTTATTCTGCCCCTTGGTTTGGATCCGCCTGTCGGACATGTTGAATCCCTGGAGCTACCACTGCCCCGTAAAAATTGTAAACAACCTAGATGTCAATCTTAGATTGACTGTTTCACTATAGAATGCACTGAACAGGTGACTACTACATTTCACAACATTTAAAAGTACAGGTCTTCCTCCAATTAAAGACTGCTTTAGAGGCCAAGATTTTTATGGTCTTCGGAAGCTTTGGTCTTAATAATTATAATCATTATAAAACATAGGTGTATATATAGCGGAGATTCAAAAAAGTGGTCTTTAATAAGAGGGTCTTAATTGGAGGGCTCTTTAATTAGAGGAAGAACTGTATCTTACATTAAATTTATTACTACCTCTATAGCAATTGACTTTACCTATAATTCTATATCATTGATGAGTTTAACTTAACTTAATTATACATGTGTGTGATAAACATATATTTATATAGGGTAAAAATATATATGTTCTATATAAGTGTATAATATATTGCCTTCAATCAAATTCCAATTTCCAATGAAGCCCAGTTGGCTTAGACAACTGACGACAGCAAAAAATTATCAGTTTCAAGCCAGGCTCGGAGGGCAAAAAATTGATATGTAGAAAAACTGATTTTTCTGCGATACAAAAAGGGTGTTTGACACAAAAACTCTTGAATGAATACAGTTTCCAAGTTATATGCTGCCCTCTATGTATAACACATTGTCAAGGCACCATAATAGTTCTTTTTGGAAACACGAACAATCTCTACAATATAGGTTTGCATACTGGTGGTTTTGGTTCAGTCTTCTTAAGCATAGGAATTCCAGATCATACATGTATATATACATTCATAATCTTACAATAACTGTAATTTGTTGCTAATTTACCTTCACCACTTATATAT